GTAGTCACAATATAATATTTATAAAAACACGTTTTCAACTTCAAAATTCAGTCAATTTTATTATTTTCTTCCGGTATTTTTCATACTGGGCATTAAGGTCTGCTATTCTTATTTGCGCTACAAGTAAACTTTTTAATTAAACGACTGTACAATATAGGAGGCTGAAAAAACAATGTCCAAGCCTCGAGGCCCTCGACCAATCTTAAATACCTAAGTTCAATGCATAACTACTAGCGTAGTGTCAGTTTAGGTACATAGTTGTTAGATGAAAGAAATTTTTTTTATTTAAAAACTACTATGAAATGTATCCTTATTATACAACTATTTACAATGCTTTTTTAGTATAATCAAATTTCAGAAAAGTAGCAATAATAATTTTTCAGAAATTTCGAAAATTGGTATTTATTGGTATTTACGAAAAGAACGGCAATACTGTATAAATTTTCGAATAACTGATTTAATCAGAAGTAAAAAATGTTGAAAATCCAACAGCATGCCAGCTGTAGCAATATATTGAGTTTTAAAGGTTTCGACAAGTAAGACATTTGGCAGAAGTTTAGTCTTCAAAATTTTTGTAAAATGATTATTTCAGGACACAGCAGTCAATACTTAGCCATTTATAATTTTATGTATTTATATACAAAATTATAAATGTCATTTGAAATCGTATTTATTGGAGATTTGTTACCATACTAATAACTAATGAGTAATTTGTACTTTATTTAAATTAGGCACACCCCTTCGGCTAATCTGCATAGTACGCATAAACCAGGCAAAAATTTTGTATTAAAGAATATTATAGTTTATACTAGAATCTTTAATTTAATGTTTTAACAAAGCCTCTTAAGAATAATTAATAAGATTTACAGTGATTTATAGTTGTGATTCTAAGATAATGAAATTTAGCCGTTCACAACAAGGGTATCTACGTTTTTTTCATAAATTAAAACCACTGATGTTCCAGATCCTAAGTAACTACAAACTTGTGCCAAACAGTAAAATGAAGGTCTCGACATGCATTTTAAGATTTCACTGTAAGAAATACATAGTAATAATAGACTGACTCTGAGAGTAGGCTTCAAGCGTGTGATAGGTTGCTTGACTTAACCGCAAAAAATCATGAGAAATAAAGGTCTCAAACAATCAAAAGCAGTTTTATACACAAAGCAATAATTATAAACATTCGTTACTCTATTTTTAGGAAATATCTGATTCAATGTTCATCAAGGTTGAGTTCAAGAGAAAAAAATTATAATAGTTCAAATATAATTTGGTTTTGGCGAATTTCCGAACATAGTCAAAAAAAGACTAAATATAGGCCTATTTTCAAAATTCAAATTGTTCTATCTTGGGCTATAGGGCACCTAGAGGGCTAAAAATTTGGCATCTTTGATAATTTTCAGTTTACTTTAACGTATTTAAAAATTAGCAAAATCCAACAACTAAGTGCGCAGGATTCGGTGAAAAAGTATTACAATTACCCATATACATCTTCCTATATTATAACGTTATCTTGAGTGGAGTCAGCCTCTTACCCCCCTTAATTCTCCTCTATATCCCACCCAGTCCCCCAAAATACTTTATTATTCGTTTGTTTTCTAGCTGTTTTGTATATCTTATTACATTTCCCTCCATCTCACATGCATTTCTCTCCATCCCCCTCTAAGTAAGGGGTGGTCGAGCGGCTTCGGTGAGTGTAAATCATGTACGTGTATATTGGTCTCTTTTAAAAGTTAATTTTCACATTTTTACGTTAACTTTTCGGAGAACTACAGGAAACCTTATTATATCATTGTTATCCTACTTTTTTTCGTATATGTTTTGGAAACATCTTGTGTTATATATTTCTGTAATTCTTAGAAGTATTAATTATTTTATAACACATATTAATTTATAACACACAGTGTCCCAACTATTCAATCTAGGAAAAGTCTTGCGTTTAAAAGGAGTACTTGACTGACATAAATTAATTTTTACGATTTTACAACTATTATCAGTAATATTGTTATTAAGACTGTGGTTATTTCTCTAGTTATTATTTTATGATAAAAATACTAATATATGTATGAAACGTGACTTATGCAAATTCAGGGGCTTTTATGATTTGTATTGATAATATTGAAAAATTATGCAGACTGTTCACATAAGTACAACTTTATCCTCAAAAGAAGCCTCATAATTTTTTTCCTTAATAATGTCCGCATCAGTCATCTTTAATCAACGTATGTATGTCCATATTTATATCAACACAACCTTCTCATAATTATATTTTTCATTTGTAGAGAGCTTCTATCTCAAATAGAAATTTTTAAACGTGCTAAAACACAAGAACGTAGCTGTTCAAAAAGAGAACTTTTCGATGAAGAGTCACTCAAACAAGAATCACTTAAGTATCAAATGACCTATTTTCCTGAAAGAGCCAAGATAGAAGAGGGAGCCCGCTTAAGTCATCTTGAAAGAAGAGTTGGATATCTAGAAAATATCATTGGAGTCAATAAAAACGTTAATTCAAAATTTTTTCAAGTATGCTCGAAATATTTTTTAATCGCTTGATAAAATTTTTGTTTTGTTTAGTTAAAAATAATTGTCTTTTTTTATTTTTTGTTCTAGTTACTTAGGTCTCAAGGAATTCTGTCGTCCATTAAAAGAATAATAGCATGTGCTTGTATTCTTAACAGCTCCCAATTAGATATTGTAGAAAATAGAGTTACTTCTTTGCTCCGAAAAATGGACGAGGCTGAAGAAAAAAAAAATTCTGTAAGACTCGAGTCAAAATACGAAAAGAAAGTAAGTACTGTAATTTTAAATATAACAATGACATACTTTAGAAATTTTAAGGCTAAATATTTAGTTCTTATGTGTAAAAAAATCCTATTCTGTAGCTTGATATTTACTTGCTTTCGAAATAACCAAGGCTCATGAGAAACTTGCTCATCACATCAAACATTATGCCTGTGGCTTTTCATTAGTAAGATATGTATACAACTTTCATAAAAAATGGTTTTATTACACATTGAATACATGTTTCATCCACAGTTACTTATGCATGTTACTTTTCTGTGCCAAAACTTATCTAGATTGTAGCGCATGGGATCGAATTAAGCCTTAGAAGAGACCATGTGGTTGCATTTGTTTTCAGCTGAGAGCAAATGCACCAATCTTGCAGATATTCTTTCATACTTAATTTATCGTATAAGGTTGAAACTACAAGACCTATTTAAACTTCTGTGGCCTTAACTATTTTGCACTATTTTATTTTTCGCTCCCTTAACACCATACCATAAATTTTATTGATCATTTCCGGAGTACTTATGTTTACGGGATATTCTTAATAGTGCTCATCTTCTTTTAATATACGGTTTCGTTGAAATTCATTTATCTTATTGTAAACTGTTAAAATTCAAGGGACAGATGTGCTATAAATTGAATTTAACTTGGCTTTTAATTGTTCAGCTATTAAGCCTTTCAAATAGAAATTTTTAATCACCATTCCTTTCTCTTGTTTTCCCAATTTTTTAAATCAACAAAAGTAAATTTCCTCTATCGACGATAAACACTTATTTTACTTGAATTGTTGAAACTTTGATCGACGCCTAGTAAAAAGTGTTCTTCACTAAAAACAGAAAATTTGCGATACTACAAACAAACGTCATCTCTTAGATTTTCTAAGGATTTATTGAACCACCATTATACAATTTTTTTTAGTGGATCACAAAAAATGTTAATACTATATATTGGTAAAGATTGGCCCTCTCGGTGATCTGGGTATTCACTTATCATTATATATAGTAAGCGAACTTTATTAGATATGGGTTTTAAATACTAAACGATCAATTAAAGAAAACCCGCCGGACCAAGCTGTGCGTGTATAATCAAACCATCTGCATAATAAAACCAGAGTTATGAATTCTGGAGTATAAGTCTCTAAGCTAAAAATTCTCAATTCTAAAATTTATCATCAATTGTATTTCTTAGAATACGTTAAAATATCCTTAAATTCGTGCTTTCTTCTATGTACAAGCTATAAAAAAAGTTCACCTATATCTAACATACGCTTCTACGCCTTTCTATTAAACACTTTGAATTTTTGTTCCATTCTATCTGGTTTGTAGAAGAATTTCTCAGATTATCAAAAGTGAATTGCATAGGCTTATCTCTCGAGGTCATGTACACTTCAAGTACCTTTTATAACAGAGTTATTAGTTGGCTGAGGAGCAATAAGATATAGCTCGAGTGGTAGTGGCATGATTTTTTCTCTAGTAGCTGGGTTCTATGTAGCAGCGCACACGACACTAGCTATAGGGACTGCGGCGATGCATCTGAAATTGCTTGGCGTGTTTCAGTTCATTACGAAACTCTTGATCAGCTTGCTGAAAAAAAAATCATAGGGCTTCCGTGATGAAGTCACCTTTTCGATCGAGATGAAGGGCTTTCGTACCTATACAAAACATCTCGGCAACGCGCACTCTACTATTTTGAATATTGTATTTTTTAGCGGACCTGATATTGAATAGTCCAATATAATTTGCCATAGCGAGAGATCACCAGAGCTGGAGGAGTTCAAGTAGTGGGTAGAGCACGTACAAGCTGCGTGGCAGTACGAGCCTGAAGTAGACAACAGACAACACACTGATACGAATGGCCCTTGATTCTGCGTGAGCCTCCCATGATTCAAGCTCGTTTGTTAACGTAAACATTTGTTACCCTCGCTCTCGCATGAATAGCAGCATTTGCCACTTATAATAGGGGGTGGTGTGTACGATAGTCGAGAGTTAAGTGTTGCAGTTCACCAGTGACTTGAATGATCCTATCCGAAGTAGAAAAAAAACGATCTAGCGAGGTGACTAGATGTCAACAAGTAGTGGCGATGGCGCAGCTAAACGCATGACAGATACGCATCATGAAGTTTGAATATTTTCAGAAGAGAAAAAAGCGGTATATCCACATACCAGTAAAGGTATTGCCAAATTCATTGACGGAGCCAAGAGATTCTCCGGCGCTCTCCTATACACTTAGCATGCATAGCAAGAATCGGTTCTCTCCTATACACTTAGCATAGGACCCGCTCGTGATTTTGTTTGCGTTTGCACAGATATTTCTTCCAAATGCCTGATAAGGTGCATATTTTTCGTCTTCCTTAGGACTTGAACTTTTGGTACAAACTTTTTTATTACGTCGAAAGCATTTTGACATACTTATATACATGATCAAAACCTCCAGAATGGCCTTTCTAAGAGGCTATGTTACATTCGCACATTATAATAATTTTTTTCTTAAAAAAATGCCGGGTAAAAAATATTTAAAAAATTCACATAGTTTCCAAAGGTGTTCACGAATCATATATATTTTTTCAGAGAGTAAAAAGCATTTTCAAACAATGCCTGAACCTTCTAAAGTAATGACACAAAGTCTTAGTAAGACAGTAGAAAATTTTTTGGAAATTATGGAAAAATAAAATAACATAAAATGAAATAACCAGGTGTGGATCTCTGGACCCCCGGCAGTAGTGAAACTTCCAACTTAAATGTTATTAAACTCGGTATAACAGACACTGAGAAAGTTAGATTACACCTAATTTTAATAGGTCTTAAGGTATCCAGTAGTAAAATAGTGAAAATTTTATTATTATTACGTATTTGAGCACGCGCGTGCAAAATAAACATATAATTATACATACTACTTATGTTACACGTGGTTCGTGCATTCTAAGTACTTCCATATTTGCTATGATATATGTAATAATACACATTTGAATTGTTGGTCATGTAATGCAGAATAAAACAAAAATTTTCACCATACTGCCCTAAAAAAAGAAACTTTTGTCTAGTTACGCAGGACAAAAATTCCTTTCATTTACAATTACTATTTGTGCATGTGATATGACATTACATATGTACAACTAATTCTTGTTAGAATCATTCTATCTGACAAAAACAATTTTTTTTTCAAAAAACATTTTTTTTCAATTTTGGCTACCATAAAAGTAAAATAATCCACTCTATCTGATTGAGATTAAGGAAAACAATAGACTGTGACGTGGCGAATTAAATATACATCCAAACACGTCACGGAATTCTTGTCACTGACAATAAATGGTGAGTCTCATAGGTAGCTCTTTCTCTCTTGCATGTGGCTTACTGTAGCGGACGAAATTCCAGTATCAGGCCCGTATGCCGTAGCATTAAGAGTAACTATAGAGCTTGATCTGACTCTCCTTCCGTTCGCCCAATACCCGTACCTTGGAGATGTGTGTGTGCATTACTAAAGGAATGAATATGCGAATGGCAGCTATCGGTGTGTTGGTGTTCTGGTAGCAGGAGTGTAGTAGAGGTGGCCTATGTGTGGTGCTTTGTTGGCTGATAGTGTGTGCTGGGCCGCATAGCATACGGTGCGCCTGCGCGGCGAAACAAGGACAGACACTTGAGCTCGTTGCGAGGCTAGCACCGGAGCAGCTCGGCACGGCATCAGCAGACTCGCCTGCCGCATTGCCGTGAGGTTGCGAAGCCGAGACCTCAGTGCCACACACACACACACACACACAAGCCAGCCCTCACACGGTAATCCAGTTTCCCTGGTGCCCTCGACGCCCGTAGCATCGCCAGGAGCATCACTGAGTACTCCTTATGGAGCAGTAGCCCTGTAGGTGAACGTGTACTGTGTTGGTGTTGTGCATTGCGTGCGTGAAAGTAGTCGTCCCTTATTACCCTTCCCTTATGCCATATTAAAGAGTCAGCCCGAATCCCCTATTGCGAGTTACTATGTGAACGACACCTTGGTTTACGAATTTGTGGCAACAGCAAGCCACAACACAGGAATCGTTGCTGTTGTGGTGTGCCATGCAATAAGTGTAACATCAATGACCGTTAATATTTAACCTCAATAAACAAGCAGTTAACTACTAAGTACGTCTTGTTGTCGTGTCTCGGCTAGGGCAGCGCTGAGTGCAGCTGTGACAGTGTCGTGCCCTCGTGTTCAGTTAGTGAGTGTTCACGACTAAAAAAGCTATTCAATCACAATTGCTGCACAACGCTACTCGTTGCTGCACACGGTGCTGTACAATACTGGTGATACCCAGCCCTTCCCTAATCCCCTTTAACAAAAGTTGCATGGCATGGAGTACGCGAAAATATTACAGATAAGGTTTCAAACACAAACTTACGTTAGTTGTAATCCCCGGTTAACGTGTCACAAGACATATAGCTATTTTCTATTGTAAAGTTTTAATTTTTCATTTAATTTTTTTTCTACGATTGTTTACAATAAAATTTACGCGTGATTATAACTAATTTCTACTAATCTCAAAATTAATTATAAGAAAATTGATTTTGGTCACGTAACAATTATTCTTATAATACATAATAGAAAATACAAAATAAATCAATTTACAGCTAGGATATGTAGGATGTAGCTTTGCCTTTGAAATATGACTATTAAAGATACAGATAAAAATCAAAAAAATTAAGGTTATGTGAGTGCATAGTCCAACTCCTCTATATTTGTGCATCTCGATTATGTAGTTACTCTCTAGGAAATCCGTAAAAATTGTCAGTTTCAGCAAATTTTGCTTCCCTTCTGAAATTCAGCATTTTTTTTTGTTTTCAAAGGTTTGGTTGCCATATTATACATTTTCAATACTTTATGCACGTTTTTTAACATACTTCTCTACATAAGAAAGGATGAATAGGGAAGGAAAACGATTCTTACTTTTTTCTTTTAAGAACTTCGAAGCGATCACACCTAAGTAGCCGCGTGAGAGGAAGGGAGCCCGTGGCGTCCATGCAAGGTAG